AAGATGCAAAGAGAGGTGTTTATTATTATTATTATTAAATTATATGTTTATGTAATTTTGTATAATATACTCCTTGAACGATAATTAGAATATTAATTTGTATAAATAGCAATTAGTTTGAAATTACATAAAAAAGAATGTAGAATGATTTGTAAAAAGATGAATATTCAAATAATGTATGATGATATATTAACTACACAACTAGAAGGGGAGTCGTTAAACTTTGAAATCAAATGTTTAAATATATGATTAACATTATGAAATTTTTATTCTCTATTGTTAGAGATTTTTACTACAATCAAAATTTATGTTCATCTTGATGAGGTATTTTTTATATAAACTTTTTTCATATTAAATTTAGGATATAATATACTATTTCACATAAATTGATTTCATATATATTGAAGCATTTTTTACCTGCATTTTTTGTTTGATTAAAAAAAGTTGTACTACAAACAATATCTTAAATCACACTTTTGATTAAAAAAAATCATGTAAACAATTATTTTGTTATCGTGAATTTGGGTATTGTCATATATATATATATATATATATATGTAATCATTTGAATGTATAACGATCTGAATCTTTCATTTTTTTAATCAATAGTTGTGATTAATGAAAGGTTATAATCTAATAAAAAGGGAAACAAAGCACATTTTTTATTGGTCATGTGAATATAACCCAACTCATAGCCATGTCATTTTATGATCAACATTTCTTTTTTTTGGTTATATGACTTAAATGTGGTCCCATAAAAAATATAGTTTTAAAAAGACGATTTTTTCCTTCTTAAAGCGTATGCAAAACAAGTATAAGTAATATAGTATTTGAAATCAACATTATTTCCAAGATAAATATTTTAAAAAATAAGTAGATATTTTAATCAGTGAATGATGTTGAAATTTTATAATTAATTTTAAATATCAAGAATAATGATCAACACAGTAATAAAGAAAATTTGAGACGTTGGTGTAGAAAGGTTAGTGGTAAGTTAAGGTTTATTTATAGGGGGGAGGGGAGGGGAGGGGGGTTAGGATAGGATAGGCGTAATTAGGTTAGGTAGGAGGAGAGGTTTAGTTTAGGGTATGAGGTAGGAGCAGGGTAGGGGTAGGTACGGTTTAGGAGTAGATAGGGCAGGGTAGGTAGTTAAGAGGGGTGGTTTAGGAGTAGGTAGGAGGTTAGTTAAGTTAGTTAGGGTTAGGAGTAGTTAGGGGGCGGTGCGGTGCGGTTTAGGAGTAAGATAGGGCAGGGTAGGAAGACGGTAGGTTTAGGGGGTGGGGTAGTAGTAGGTAGACGGTAGGAGCTATGTTTAGGGGCAGGATAGAAGTAGGGTAGGTAGGTTAGTTAGGGTTAGGGGCGGTTTAGTTAGGTTAGGGGTAGGTTAGTTAGGGTTAGGAGTAGGATAGGTGTAATTAGGTTAGGTAGGAGG